GAGAAATGGTATTTTCTCAAGACAGACTCACTTGTTTATGTTTGCAGAGAGGCACTGACCAAGAAAATACATGCTAGAAATATGGCGCTTTTTTCCTAAAGTCTCAAAGATGGGACCTATTAAGTAAACTATATTTTTAATTAAAAAGCAGCAGTAAAAAGGAGAAAAAGGCAGGAGAGACATGGATGTGCTCTTATGCTGCAGCTTACTGCATCAATGGCCTGATGGAGGCAAGAGGATCCACCCGTGAGATGGGATGTCCCACCATTATGAATACAAGGCTATCAGGGTTTTGCCTTAACATGTCTAGAATTATAAGTGTTGGGAAATTTCCAGTGACCAGCAGAATACAGAAGCTGGTAGACCATGGGATTGTGAGTAACAGACCTGAGGGCAGGGGGGGTTTCTCCTCACTCTGCTCAATGCCTGACTCAAGGGTGACCGAGGCCAAAAAGTCACCACACAAAGGCTCTCGGCACAATAATGGTGTAATAATATCTGAACAACAGAAGGGCTTCACTGTAGGAAAGGACAAGGCAAAGATGGCTAAAAGGGAAGGGAAAGCTAAGCCGTACTAAGAAATGGTTGTACTGAAAGTGCAAATAAACACATCTTTGTGCTGGACACACTGGGACATCATCTAGACACAGGGGAAATTAAATGTCCCAAGAGCTACCTACAGCAGGAGTATTGGTGAGCACACGCTGATCCTGCTGTGCCAGTGCACCCCAGCAAATCAGCCCTGCAGTAATGTCACAGCTTTCATATTATTTCATATTTCATAGAAGCACGAGCCCAGCTCCCCTGCATCAAGGAGTGAGGCTTTCCCTTTTCCCACTTTGCTGGGCTGGCTGTACTGGCCAGCTCAGAGCTGCACCAGAGGACCACCAAGTCACACCGTGCTGCAAGGGGTACTCCAAACCTACGTACACCCATGGTATCAGTTACTTGATTCTTAAATGTATCAGTGATCACAAAGCTGATAATTAGTAGTCAGGCAGTGAAGCTGCCTCCTCACCATCAGCTTTATGGTGGCAGTTCTCTCCTGGCACTTGTGACATGCTCTGCTTCTGCAGGCACTTGGCAAAGCAGGTCTTGACAAACTTGGCTTTTGTCCCTGACTTAACTGGGGTGCTCAGTGAATGGGGCAGTCTCAAGCATCAGTCTGAGGTGCAAGCAGAAAGGTTAAACACAGCAAGCTCCCCAAAACAGTCGGGATGAGGGTTAATTGGAGAGCCAAAGGAGCAAAGAGAGGAGGGAATTAGTCCGTCTACTGGGCTGTCAGAGCTAATCAGCATTAGAAAAAGGGCAGATTACAGTAAAGCAAGTAGCTCCTCCTTATGTTTGGGGCCCTAAATGAGCGCTTGGTGTATTCCTGATTTCTGTTTTTCTCGTAGCACATCTGAAATGGTGATGAAATGCCACCAGGCTTGAGGGGCTTCAGAGACAGCACCACAGTATCAACATCCTCAGCACTGAATGAAAGAATTATCTGGCTTTTACCTACCCCTCTGGAATGCCAACTTTTTACGAGAGTTACGAAAAGATTGTTAATTATAGAAAGGCTGTCATCATGCATACCCAGCCTGCGACATGTAAAATTAAGCATCTGTTCAGAATGATTAGAGAAAAAAACGACTGCCTCTTCACGTGGCTTTTTTTTTAAAAAAACCCCCACCTTGTATATTCTGAATAATTGTTGCATCTTTTCTCCTTAACAGCCTTGATCCTGAAACTAGATTAAACCAGAAAAATTCTTGTGTCTGAGCCTCACTAAAGAGAGTGTGTCACAGATTTCAAGCACTGGAAAGCAGCTGAGGACAGCAGCTCAATATTTAAGTGAAATGACCTACTCAAGTAGAGAGGGATGAGAACCCAATGTTGTGCAACAGCTTAAAGGGTCTGTTGAGCAATGCACGTGTAAGAGATTCGGTCACTTACTTGAAGGATAAAAGTGCTTAACATAGCCCATTCATCTAAAAGGTGGATCTTCAAATTCTCAGTTCTGCTACTGTCTATCCTGGGCAGTGAGTGCAACACTCTGAGCACTGAGTTGGCATCTGTACAAAGCTGAGCAGGCAATGGCTGTACCCATTCACCACCAGTCTTTACATCACTCACAAATAGTAAGTAAGATGACCGTGTGCTCATTCATCAGCATCATGCAGAAAGAGCTGCCATTTCATCCAAATACTGATAAATCACACCTTTTACACGAGTGTATCTGGTGATATCCAGAGCTGTCCCCTCTTGGGAGAGCCCTGAGTACCAGTTTATCAGGAATCCCCAGTTCCATCATCTCCATCTCTTCTGGTGAAGCAGGTTCACAGAGACAGAAACTAGAGATCAACTCTCCCACTCCACAGATGAGCACCCCGACAACTGCCCTCCTGTCCATGGTCTGTGCTGGCATCCAAGGAATGCATGTGGTAACAGCCTCTCTGCACAGCTGACCAGCTGTGCTGCATCTGGCAACAGAAAGTCCAAGTTTCTGCATTCAGCAGGCCCTTTTGACACAGAAAAAGAGATGCCTGGATGAAGCGAATCAGTCCCACAGTTCTTCAGCGGTCTGTCTCAGCTGTTAATATGCTGAGTGAATTCTCTGGAACTGATGGGAGATACAATAATAGAACATGAATATAACAACACGCATATAACACTAATATAAGTATCTTTTAAGTTTTTACATTTTTCTGTACTTACAAATAAAAAAAATCCCTTAATACTTAAAACTGTACTGTGCTTTTCTTCACCAAAACCGAAGTCCACCACCTGTGTTCATTGTAGTCTCAATCCCAGTAGGTTTCCAAGGCCTGACTGGATAAAGCCTTGAGCAGCCAGGTCTGACCTGATTTCAACACGTGATCAGACAAGAGACCACCTGACCCTCCTCACCTGAACTATTCTACTGGTCAGTGATTCTATGACATGCTAGCATGTGAAGTAGAACAGGCCCAAACTCAGAGAATTACATACCCCATCTCAGCCTACTTCTGTGATCCCACGTTGAGGGCACTTTTCTACGATGTGGGAGACTTTGTTCCAAACTCCCAACCCACATGAGGGGTTGGAGTCGACAGAGCTCTGTTGTTAAACATCTTTGTCAGCGACATGCACAGTGGGATACAGTGCACCCTCAGCTAGTTTGCCTGTGACACCAAACTGTGGAGTTGTTGACACGCTGGAGGGAAGGGATGTCATCCAGAGGGACCTCGACAGGCTGGAGAGATGGGGCCATGCCAGCCTCATGAAGTTCAACAAGGCCAAGTGTAAGGTCCTGCACCTGGGTCGGGGCAATCCCAAGCACAAATATAGGCTGGGCAGACAGCAGATGGAGAGCAGCCCTGAGAAGGACTTGGCTGTGTGAGTTGACAAGAAGCTCAACGTGAGCTGGCAGTGAGCACTTGCAGACCAAAAAGCAAGTCGTGTCCCAGGCTGCGTCAAAAGGAGTGTGACCAGCAGGTTGAGGGAGGTAATTCTCCCCATCTACTCTGCTCCAGCTGACGTCCCATCTGGAGTGCTGCACCCAGTTCTGGAGCCCACAGTACAAGAAGGACATGGGTCTGCTGGAGCGGGTCCAGAGGAGGACCACAAAGATGATTATAGGGCTGGAGAATCTCTGGTATGAGGACAGGCTGAGGGAGCTGGGGTTCTTCAGCTTGGAGAAGAGAAAGTTCCGGCATGACCTAATAGCGGGCCTACAGGAAAGCTGGAGAAGGGCTTTTTACAAGGGCCTGTAGTGATAGGACAAGGGGTAACAGGTGGAAGCTGGAAGAGCCTAGGTTTAGAGTAGATCTAAGGAAGGAGTTTTAGACTAGATATAAGGAAGAAGTTCCTTACCCTGAGAGTGGTGAGAGACTGGATCAGGTTGCCCAGGGAAGCTGTGGATGCCCGATCCCTGGCAGTGTTCAAGGCCAGGCTGGGTGGGGTTTTGAGCAACCTGGGCTAGTAGAGAGAGGTGTCCCTGCTCACAGCAGGGGCGTTGGAACTAGATGTTCTTCAAGGTCCCTTCCAACCTTAACCATTCTATGATTCTGTGATGGCTTTCCTGTGCTCCCCTGCAGCTTGATATCACCTCTAAGGAAATCCAGCAGCAAGCGACCCGGTGCAGCAGAGCCTTTTTCATTCCCTTCCCCCCAACCATATGTCCCCGCTGATTTCCTTATACCAGTGAGAGCAGCTGTCTGACCTCCTGGCAAGCCCATCCAAGGAGCTAAGAGGCAGAAAATAAAACACTTCTTTCTGTCAGTTTATCTTCCTATCCTGGATTACCATGATGCCCGACAAATGCCAAGTGCAAGCACATGGGGGCAGGTGAGAACGCATAGCCAGCGTAAGCAGCAGAAGAAACTGCATCTTCCAGCACCTGGCAGCATTAGAACAGTTTAATCGAAACAGCGGGTGTTCTCCCTGCCCTGTACAGCACAGAAACCTAGAAACTCACACGGTTTTACATAGTGGACCTGATGATCTTAAAGGTCTTTTCCAACCTTAACAATTTATGCAGTGCTTGGGAGTTCAGGACCATACTACTAGATCTGTGTTCCCTTTGTGGGTCTGATCTTTATCCTTCTGCTAAATAAGGCCTATCTGATAAAGTTAGTGACCAAACGGGCACGCAGCATCTGTTTACATCAGTGATAGAAATCATAACATCAAGAAAATAAACTGTGTCACACTTCTAAAATGTGGCAATGTGGGCAAACTGAGCTACATTGTTCCCTATTTTATGCATAGCTTTTTCCAAAAGCTTTTCTCACAGCACAGAAATGCTCTATTCAATTTCAGGACAGTAGATGTAAAAGTAACATGCTTGTGGCGGGACATGAAAAAACAAGTTCATTCTTACATAATCAAAATAAAAGTTTTTATTCAGCTAATAGTATTTTTGATTGGGTATTCTATTTTATTCCATATACAGAAATGTAAACCATAAATACAATTGTAACAGCAGCAAAACAAAACACACCCACTCAGAACCAGGGAGAACTTTGTTCCCTTCACTGTCCTTCCAAGGAATAGCTGTATTCAGTCCGTCTGCCAAATCGATGCACAAAGTCCAAAAGGGAGAACACTGAGCCCCATCCCACTTTGGGATTCATACTGATGAAATCATCCAAGTTCATCTTGGAGTCTAAAAAAGGACCAGAAAAGGGAAATCATGTTTAAGTTCCTGATGTAGCTTCTGTAGCACAGGTACACATCTATCAAGAAAAAGCCTCAAATCTCCTCTTTGATAGCTCAGTTCAAAAGAGCAAGGAGTTTGTAGCACTCTTGCTCAGCAGCAGTCTGGCAAGATTCAATGCTACCAAGACATGTATTTCCAGTCTTCAAAATGTTGCTTTTGCCCCAATCTCTCTCTCCGCCCATGGCAACAATCACATTACCAGATCAGTAACCATCCTGTCATTAGGAACTAGTGAGCGTAGGAAAGAGTAAGATTTTTCCCTGCAACAGCAGCCTAGAAGGGTCAAGTAGTGCCAGAGAACTGGAGCGCAAATAACAACCGACGCAGGGAACTGCAACACAACAGGTGCTTGCAGGCTTTCTGCATCCACACAAAGCTACTTACTCAAAAGCAGAGGAGGAATTCTTCTGAGTTCTTCTCTAAGTTCTGAGCCAAAGTCAACCCAGTCAGCTTTTGCAGGGACTACAGGGCAGCTGGACCAGAGCAGCAGTCAGAACTGGAAGGTGCTCAGGGTCTCAGAAGCCACTAGCCCCTTGGCAAACCTATGATTCGCTACTAGCCCGGCTGCAGTATTCGCTCTGTATTTGCCTCCCCTCTCACCCTGAACTCTGTCCCTGCTGTATGCTGGCCCACTGCAAGGCCGGAATAGGGGGGCCAAGGAAATGCCTGACATAACCCAGCCCGAGCTGTAGAGGGATGCTCAGGTGAAGAAAGACTGCGGTAAATGCTTTTGTGCGGTTCTATTTTGAAATCCTGAACCACTCCAAGAAGTCAGAGTGGGACTAGGTTAACCACCATAGTTTCAAGAGAAAAGTAAGCATGATGGCTCTTTCCCAGGAGGTTGATCTGCTCTGGCACCCACAGGAGAGGTAGAAACCGTTCTGTCCCGGCCGTGGATTGCAGAGAGCTCACTGCAAAGCACCGGCATGCAGTTTTGGGTTTAGGTGCCTTATACATCCCTTTTTCTGGAGCTAGCCTGGTACAAGCTTTGCTGACTCAGAACCATGCTGATCAGAGATTTCCGATTCCTCAGCCTATTCAGCTCTGACTACAAACATCCATGGGCTTGTTGGTTTATGTTCTGACAATCTGGGCAAATAATCTTTTTTAATGCCTGTTAAAAGAAAACTGGAAGAGAATGAGTTTAAAGAACAGAGTGGGAGAGCCATTGGATTTACTGTTTTAGCTTTCCTGCTATATTTAAGTACTTATTTTAACATGGATGATTCATGTGCTCATTTAAGGATTAAGAACCAAACAAGAGTAGGCTCTAATGAATGGATTACAAAATCCATAGGATGGAATTTGCTTCAGCTGCAAAAAGCTTGTGTAATTAGGCTTACCACGATGGACAGTGTAAATGAGGAAGGGAAGACAATGTTTGGGAATCCCAGACCCAGGAGTCCCAGCCGTAATCCAGCTGCCAAAGCCCTCTATTTGCGCCGTGTCTACACTGTGGCACGGCTTTGTGATTTGCCTAATCCCAGCTCTCATCAATTCCAAGGTCTGGCCTCTAACTCTTTTCTGTGTGGGCTCTGCTTATTGAAAATCCTTATGTTCAGCCAAGCACCTTTCTCCCGCTGAAGTGAGTCTGGCAGAACAGGACCAATTTCTGCCCATGTGGGGATTTAAAATAGCACAAGCCCAGCAATTTGCTGTTGCAGCTCAAGAACAATTAGCAGCGGATAACAGCTCTTGCTTGCTGGTAGACTGGTAAGCTTGCTTTCTAATTCCCAAACTGTTTTTTCCTCCCAGATGCTTTTGTTTTAAAATTAACGTTATTCTTCATATAGTTTAAGATCTGAAAGATAAATAACCTCCTGCTTTATGTGCACTGAGCATAGCAGAATAATAATTTCATAAAACTGTTTTGTGAATGGTAAAGAAGCCCAAAGGGGATTGTTCCAAACAGAGCTGCTGTTGTTAGCAACTTGGAAGTTGCTATTACAGTGCCGTAAGAAGTGAAATATTCTCTTAAATTCAAAAGAGCATAATACAGTCCATCACAGAAGTCTGATGAGATTAAAAAATGTTTTAACAAAGCAAACAAGAACGTTCCTGTGAAGTGCAATGCTCTAAGAACCGGTCAGTAGAGGGCACTGAAGCAGTGTGAGAGTTATCCATGAGCCTTCTCCTGTTTTATTCAACTCGGAGGTAGCAATTCAGTCTCTTTTTCACCTGGGCTGTATCTGAATTCTGTGCGTGTTATGTTAGACCTTGCAGCTGTACAAAATAGCACTGCAAAAACGCATGAGAACAGGTGAAGCAAATAAAGAGCAACAGGCAGCAGACCTTGCAGAAGAGACATCTGGATGCTACAGTCGACAAACCAAGAGGATTGCCCCACAAAAGTGAGGAGGAGGAGATTTTGTATTATACAAGGTCAAGTGCAGCTCTATTATTATTTTTTTAAAGACTTATATTACACTGGCAGTACTCCTCAGGTATTGTGGCTATTACACTAGCTTGCATTCGTGCATGCTCAGAGGCACTGGGTTGGAAAGGATCTTTAAAAGTCATCTAGTCCAAGCCCCCTGCAGTGAGCAGGGACACCTTTAACTAGATCAGGTTGCTCAGTGCCCCATCAAGCTTGACCTTGAATGTCTGCAGGGATGGAGCCTCCACCATCTCTCTGGGCAGCCTGTCCCAGTGTTTCACAGCCCTCATAGTGAAGAACTTTCCTAATGTCTAATTTAAACTTTCCTCTTTAACCAAACCCACTTTGTTACACACATACGCGGTCAATGAGACCTAGCAGGCACATTCAGGGAATCACAGAATCGCTGAGGCTGGAAAAGACCTCTGAGATCATCATGTCATGTCCAGCCTATGACTCAACAGCATTGTAACAGCTAGACCATGGCACTAAGTGCCACATCCAGTCTTTCCTTAAACACCTCCAGGGATGGTGACTCTAGCTTGCGTAATTTTATTTTTTTAATCAAGTCTGACATTTTTGCCCCAAGCAGAGATGAAACAAAAGGCCAGAAACTCTCAGAGGCATTGTTAGCTATGATATTTCTGGCTTCTGCCAACAGCAGTTAAAAAGCAGCTGAAGGGCTGCAAGGAGGTGAGCAAGACAGAAACGAAGCCTCCATGATCAGTTCTGTTGCTGACTAACCTTGGGGACACCTAAAACTCTTAGGCAGTTGGGCTTTTCAGAGATTTGCATAGGTGTCTACAGTTCTCTTCAAATCCCCCTCCCTTGCTTGAGCAGGGAGAGAAGTGTTTTTGCAGGCAGAGCTGGAAAGGCTGTTACCACGCTCAGCCAGAGGGTGCCGTCCCCACAGCTGAGAGAGAACTGATTGTGCACACCATCTTGGTCACTTTCAGTGTAATTTCAATAAACTCCTAGAATTTCAATACTTCTATCCTTAAATGCACTTTTATTGGCTCTATCCCGACTTGATTCTTTACTTCCACAAAAGCTCATGAAGGCAAGGACCTAACTTGACAGACTCGAGTTTTATTCTCAAGTGAGAGGAGCAGAAGGCTCCCATGAAGAGGATAGGAGCTACTTACATGCATATCAGTGCTTCTTTTTGCTTTCACTAGGATCCCACCACCATCTTAGAGAAGATACAGAAGGAAAGGACAAACATCTGCCTGGCCTCTGTTTTGTAGCGTGCCTGCTACGTAGATGTGTCATACACAGCGCCTCCAAAATTTCTCACCTGTCCTACTCATGATTTTCAAAACAAAACAACCCCCCCAAAAAGTAAAACCCTAATCATTTACATCTACCAGGGATTTTAATAAAGAACAAAAAGCCTTTACAAATCAATCCTGCCAGTGTGCTACCAAACACCTAGGGAGAACTGAAATTCAAGCCAATGCTTTTCAGTGTTTGAGCTGATGCTAACAGTTGTATATAAGCCGTAAGACCATCTGTTCTGAGTAATTTTGAAATGTACTGTGCAAGTTGTACTTTACACAAGCTTGCAGTAAGGAGGGCTGATCTCATCAGGACTCATAAACTAAGCAGAATCAGACCTCATTAACCTCTGGAGAGAAGACTTAAAAGAAAATCTCAGGCTGCACTCGGCAGCCCTAAGGTGATGAATCTGTATCCCAAACTGTACCTTCTTAATTTTTATTATGTGAACAAAATATCAGATTCACTCCTTTTCTTTCAGCAGG